AGTTTGTGTGCCTCAGTTGCAATTATTCATAATTCGTTGACTCATAAAAATAAATGGCCTGCTTAGCGTAATTGCCAAAATGCTGTGTGACTTGACTTGTGCAGGCCGAATAGACGAGAGGGAGGATTTCTGGGGGTTGACCTGTTCTTTGTTTTGATATTCATGTTTCTTCTCCAAGCCCGGAGGAAAAGTGGGCGTGTCCGCAGGTCGGCTGAAGTTAGCGACACATGTGTGCCCTGATCCTGAATCGAATCGCCCGTTTCTGGTCTCGCTGCATCTGCTGATCGGCCGGAAAACCACAAATCAGGTCGGCTCAGTGGGCGTGGCGGTAGCAATTTTTGATGGCCACAATATGATGTGCGGTTGACTCGGTGGTTATGCTCTATCTGTCCCAATGACGGCCAATTATCACGCTCGTCAATTGGGCCAATTTAAATCGAGCTCACAACTGTCACAATTCTGACTTTTTCTTTGTGGTGTTTCTTAATAGACTAGAATTTATGGAAGTAGTTCCCGAAACCGGTAAGCCGTGATAAGAAAATAGTGAACTCTCATTGGCATTCGTATAGCTACATTACCAATAACATCTTCAAATTATTATTGATCTTGAAATTTTTTGAACCATGAATGAATGAAATAATAATATAGAATCCGGAAAAAACAGGGCTTACCTGTAGACAATCTTTAGTATTTTATGAATATTTTTCGTACATCCAATACTATGAAAGTCACCAAATAGGTTTTAAAACATTGGGTAGTAATTGGAGTTTATTTAACATTTTATGAGTTAAGCATAAATAAATAAATTCTAGCATAAGAAACAAACGAACTAAAGCGTCCAAATAAAATATGACTTGAAGTAAAATATAGGAAAACGTATGTACATATTAGGAATATTTATTTTTCTATTATTCAAAGAAGTCAGTTCTATTGCTTGTCATAAGTTTTGAGATGATAATGTCTGAACAGGCGTTTTCGAGAGAGATGCAGTGCATGCCCCACACTATCCCACGACAATTTCGGCTCCCCACCTATCATTACTTCCTTCTAAATGGCATGGAGCAGTTCTTCAATTTCCTGCCTGTCATGCCCTCGGTTTTCATATACATCCAAAGCCCTGCCACACCATTCCCCTCTCAGTTCTGATTTTCCGCCCACGCCACTACAGCTATTTGACAGTCAAGCCAAAGAGACATTTTGAGCGGAAAAATCCCCACGAAGCATCCCAAATTCCACACCCAATCCGAACTGTTTGCGGCCACATAGTTAATTTCCCTGCGTCCCTGAAAATTTCCCAGTATTTCATTTCCCTCCTTGATGCGTTTCGATAAGCTTTGACTTTGACCTCTTAAAGACGATTTATTTATAAATTAACGATAGTTATCAGCGAGTTAACTTTTTATTAACTACTTATGTCTTTAGATATCATTCTACAAAAGTTTGCTATTATAGCTTTAGAAGCAAGATCTAAGAACTGAGAAACCTGCCAAATGTTAAAAAAAACGTTTTGTTTTTGAATTGAAAGTTGTACTTATGGCTTTGAATTATGCATATTTAGTCCAATTAGTTACTTAAAAGAAACTAAGTAGTTTTAATTTTTTTTAGTTTAACATTTTAATGGAGCAGTTTCTCCATGTATCGCAAAGTAAATACTGATTTTGAAGCACAAAACTATTACGAAAAAAGATATATTTAAGGCAAGAACTTGATGGAAAAACACTGAATTATTTCCAGTCTTGCCCATTTTCACTCAAAATTTCATCACATTTAGAACATGAACAATATACCGAATTTTCCCCGTTTTTCTTTCTTATTATTCGCTCATCATTACCTCTCTCTATTTCATTTCCTGTTGGAGCAAAAAGTTTTTCTGAATTCTGGGAGCAGAAAACTTTTTGCCAGCACAAAAAATAATTAAAATTCATTCGTTTGATTCGCTGGGTTGGCACTGGGAGGGGTGTGCGGGGCGGTCCAAGGACATGGGGGCCATTGGGGAAACTTTTGCAGCAAACTGTAGCAGAATTAATTAACTTTCGGTACGCATGGAAATTTTATTAACAAACTGATAGCACAAAGGGTAGGAGCAGAGGGCGTGGGGTGGAGTGTTTGGAGCGTAGGGGATTTCTAGGTGGCTTTCGGGGTGTGCCTGTCGTTTTCGCTTTTTTCGACCACTGGCACTGTAAGTCATTAATATAACGAACACCAACCGACAGCGTCAACATTGCACAAGTGAGATACGAAGTGAGAAAAGCAGAATTAAAGTGGCAGGGAAAAGAGTAAAAGGATACACGGTCTAAAAATGCTAGGCCGAGGATTATTATACCCTGTTAATTTTACCTATCTATCGATCTAATTTTACCTATCCACCACTTACCAAAGGACTTGTAGTTATTGTACGCAGTGAATAAGTTTGAATTGTCCGGATCGGACGACTATATCGAATAGCTCCCATAAAAGAGATCAAATAAAATAACTGACGAAATAATTGATATTTCGTTGCTTTTTCATACAGTCATGAATATTGCCAGGTGGTGTATCTCACGACTATTGAATATCGAATTAAATTGTATACAAATCGGATGACATTATTGTGTAGCTGCCATAGAAAATCTGTATAAATCTACATCAAATTAACAAAAAAAGTATAGTGTAATTGTTTTTAATCACACAAGCATGATTATTGGAATATTGAGTTATTTAACTAGGGCCAAATTAAGAAAAAATTTCCCAAAAATCTCATAACTATACCATACAGCTGCCCTGGGAAAGATTAAAAAATTTGTAAAATAAATAAACCAAAATTATAACATCGGTGTTTTGATCATAATAACATATTATCATAATAACATATTATTTTGCATATAGAGTTTTCTTGAATTTCAATTATATATTCTGAATATAAATCGAGTACATAACATAGCTGTTATAGAAACAACCGCATACATTTAAGAAAATGAAAAGAAAAATCTCCAATCGTCATTTTGATGCAATTGGAAAGGATATTGTTACTATAGACTTGTGATGAGTCTAGTGGTTTTCTACAGTAAAGTTCAAAGTGCCATAAGAATTGAACAATACTAACGAGTGCCTTAATTTTGTTTCTTTACGTATCTCTTAAATTATTTTTGAGCTATGAATAAATATAGTTCATAAACGTTGGTACTTAATGTACAGTTTTAAAAAGTCTGAAGAAAGCAAAGCTTTAGGGAAAGCTCGTTTCGATCCATATTGTACTTCCTGTCCAGAAGTTATCCCCTTTCTCCCAGTGCACGAATAGGGAAACGGGGTGCCAAAAGAGCGAGAGGCGAGTAATTAAGTAACCTGCCAACAAAACATCTGACAGATGAGGGGGCGGTTGTTGGGATGTCAGGACATCGATGGATACATTTCGAGAGGGTATTCCGTACGTTGCCATTGATTGCCAGCAAGGAGTTACGCCACGAGTACAGCGTCGTCAGGGGTTAAGAGAAGCAAATGGGTTAAGTGGCACTGCTCTGCCGGCGCTCGATAAAATGAATATGAATGATTCATGCGCAGCATCAGCCCCAAAAAGGAGGGAGATGCTCTTTGGGGTCGAAAAATGGGAATGTGGCGTTTATGTCAACAAATTTAAGCAAAATGACCGGCGTACGAGCTGGTGAAATTCTGTGAAAATACAAATTTTTAATTGATTTTTTTTTAATTGACATTATAAAATAGCAAGAAAAAAATTTCAAAAAGTTAAATGTAGTTAAAGTAGACGCAAACATTAAAAAACGACATAGTAAAACAGGCCCGACCTTTATACAGTAGAATCCTGTTATAACGACTCCGCTTATAGTGTCCGTCCGGGTATTGCGACGAAAACTCGATGGCTTAATTGGTCCCCAGACAGACTTATACACTTAAATCCTTCTGCTTAGTGCGTCTTCCGGGTATAACGACGAAAAATCGTCGGTCGCTTGAAAGTCGCTATAAGCGGGATCTACTGTATTTCCTTTTACTTATGTGTAAATACGGAACATTATTTTTATGTGCGAAAGTCTTAGGTTTTAGAATATTAAAAATGTAAATAACAAATTATGTTTCAAAAGACTAACATTTTTATACTCCTTTACAAATAGATCTTTAGACGACTTTTAGTTAAAAATTATGTAAATAATTTCTATTGATGTTAAACCTTAGTTAAAATTTGGGGTTTCTAAAGGCTTTGGCGTAAGTTTTATTACTTTGCTTCAAGAAAAACACTTCTAAGTGTTACCAAATCGGCCAGCAACGCCTGACAATCGCGTTCAGGCTAAGCAGCCTTTTCCCTTTGGCTAATTAAATGCTAACGAATTTCCATTTTCTATTTGTCGCAAAGAGAATTGCCATTTATGGTTATGACGAAGCACGCAGTTGGCAGCAGCCGGCAGCGCAGCAGCAGTGGCGTCGGCAGTGGCAGCGTAATAAGTTGATGTGCGGCAAATTGAAAAAATGCCGCATAACTCCGCCCTGGAAAACTCCACATACTGCTGAGGAAAATTGAAAACTGCTCAAGTCGTTTCTGGCAATGGCGACTTAACGCCTTGGCGGCGGCAGCGACATCGGCAGAACATCGGCCGTCGAATTCCCCCTATTTTCCAGCGAGCCAATGGAAGTTGCCATGTGACTGCCATATCGTTGTCCCGCTCTTACGCCAAAATGGCCACGCAGAGAGTGCTGAAACGATGGAGAGGGGCAGAACGGGAGAGCGAGAGAGAAAAGGCCCTCAAGGAGCGACAGCAGTTGATCAAAATTGAAACGGCACATATAAAAATTAAGTGGTTGTTGCTGCCGCTGATGAATTTCTCTCTCGCTCCCACACACTCGCCTCTCGTCCAAAAAACATGGCAACAATCTACCCTCACTATCTCTTGCTCGCACCTCGTGCGCCAATGCGTGCGTCTCGCTCCCTCATTGCCGACGTCGCTGCCTGTGCTGGGTTTCCTCGCTGGCTCCGTCGAGTGCGCTGCTCAGTTCAAATTGAATTTTCATTGCGAGCGCGTCTGGCGCTCTCCCGCTCTCGCTCACGCCCGCTCGCCCACCCGCTTGCTCACGGAAAAAGCTGATGAACGCTGGAAAGCCCGACAGAAGCATTCCGAACTCGGGCCCCGTGCAGTTTTATTTAATCAGTTTGAAAAGACGCGTTGTTTGGTCAACGCCGGCCGTCGGCTCTGCAAAACAGCAAGCGAGACAAAAAGAAACAAATTTTTTTTCCCAAGTCCTACGCGAGTGATCCCCCCGCCCCCCTCAAGCCACAGATCCCCCACTAAATTGTGCACAAATAGACCTGTTTCATGGCCTAAACAACCGCCCATAATGGTTTTGGAGACCTTCGAGGGTGATAGCAAAAAGTTCTTCATCCACAACAACAACTCGACCGCCAGCCGAAATATCAACAACAACAAAAACGACAGCAACAGCAACAGCAATCACAGTAGTAAGGAGGCGGAAGAGTCCGTCAGAGGCAGCAGTACCGCTCACAGGAATTCCAATCAGCATCTGCCAACCGGTTCCCCGTCCACTTCTGGTGTCGGTTCCAGTTCCAGTTGCGGCATGCCCTCCGAGGGCCTCCACCCGACGGCCGCCCTGCAGCTGTACGCTGCCGCCGCACAACTGGCGCCCGGCGGCGTCCGTGTCCCGCCCTGGGGTCCTTTTTTGCAGTTCGGTGTGCCCGGCGTTTTCGGCCCAAACGGACCCTTCCTGGGGCGCCCCCGATTCGATGCTGCCGCAGGCGGTCACCCAAGCAACGCCGCCGCTGCCGCGGCCGCAACGCAAATGGCGGCGGTGAACGCCAGCAACGCGTTTGCCAACCTAACGGGACTAAGTGCGGCGGCCCTGCGGAACGTGAGCGCCGCTCAGACGACGGCGGTGGCGGCGGTCGCCAGCACGGTGGCCACGATTCAGCACCGCCTGATGATCGGCAACCGGCAGAGCCTGCCGCCGGCGGGTCCGCCCAGTGAAGGATCTAACGAGGATGGAGGTAAGTGCGGAGTGTAGGGTCCTAGTACAGTGGAGCACCCAGGGTGACTCTATTTCCGCTCTCTTGGTCATACACCGAAAAGAAATTCTAACAAGGTTGGGATTAACAAGAAAGTTCTGTATGCCGAACTTATAAGTATTATGACCCAACTTCATACAAGGGTGCAATTAGGATATATGGTAATGCCGATTCGTTTTAAAAAGAGTTCTAAATCAGGGATTAGATACTACTTAGCATGCAATTGGTAAGCGTGTTATAAAAGACTTACTCCCACTCAGTCAAGTCGAACGAAAAAACCGACGAAATATACGAAAACAAAGTGAATGCCCATCTTGTTCAGTATTATCAGACGAATTGATCATTGGGTGTCTGTCCGTCTGTATGTTCGTCGTATTCTACAAGTGCTGAAATATTGGGATTCAAAATTTAGATTCTTGTTATTCGTACGTTTGAAACATTTTTGTTCCACGCCCACTATTCTGTTCACAAGCCTCATTTTTGTTTGCTCATTTTGATTCTTATAAACACGCAGCGAATTAAGTTTTTTAAAATTCGCCACGCCCACTCTGCATTCTGGGTGGGAGGCGAGATTCAAAAGTTTTCACGCCGATGCCATGCTACCTATTAGTAATAGGTACCTTATAGTCGAGGCACTCGACTAACGGTTTTTTCTTGTCATATCTGTATTCAATTCCCTCTTCGAGTAATTGTACTTAAATACCGTAAAAACTGACAGCCGGACAGACGAACAAGTCTAGATCGATTCAGAGGTGAGGATGGTCAAAATTAATGAATTCTTTAAAATGAATAAGTTAAAAAAAACTTTTTGCCTGAACCTATTTTGGACTTATTTTTTTAAAAGGTTCTTAGAATTCAAGTTGTTTACATAAACTTGTTGAAGTGGTGCAATATATGAACGGTATCCAGAAGTATTGTATTAAAAGTAAACTAAAAAAAACAGTTCAAACAATTTTTTATAGATTAGCTATAAAAAAATAAGTAAGCGGGCTTCTCGAGCTTATTTGTAAACAGAGTTTTCAACCAGTTTTTTGGTTCATTAGTCCAAATTCAATGAGCCAATCCGCAATACCTACCAAAACAGCTTTCCTCATTGAAACCTCCCACTCGTGTGATTTTCAAAAAAAGTTAACCTTGTATGTTGACAAACTGTTTTGAAATAATTCCATTTGGGTTATGTGCCAAAAAACGGTTTCAAAAGTAAATTCCATTAGAGACCCCTTCGATCATCAATGGGACTGGCATTTCAGTAAAAACTAATACTGGCTGACGGTTTCCAAGGCTAGTCGCAGAAACGTGTACATATGTGGTAACCTGGAATTCAATCAATTTCCATCACCCACTTTCACCAATTTCTTCCCAGCATTCAGAGGCGAGATCGGCTAATAAATTAGCGAGTCCCATAACACACGCGCCTCCTATCGACAGTGGAGGTCAGCGCCGGGCGATCGACCCATTTGGTCGGATCGGATCGATTTTCTATTTCCTGTGGCTATGGAACACTGCTTGTTATCGGGCACGGACAATATGCTAATTCATTCAATTAGCCCTCCAAGTGTTCTCGGCTTGTCAGTCATTTGCGCTTCCATCGCTTTTGCTTCAACCGGAGCTTCTGTTTATCAGCCGGGCCAATTGTGCCTGACTTTTGCTACCTGCAAAACACATTTATTGATTTAGCTAATCAGCGAACGATTATTATGTAAAGTTCGATTGATTTCGTCGATATCAGTTTAGCATACAAAGTAGCAGTCGCCTGCTGTGCGGCTCGGAATAGATAGAAGACTCAAAATTGGGATCCATCCACGGCTGTCCATAAACAATAATCAAACTGTCCAAACCCGCATTAAAACTGAGGCAAGAAAAGAACGACATAATAGTCGAATTTGTGATGTGCGAATCGAACTTAAATGTTTACTTTGCTTTCCCTTCTTAATTGTTTTCGATCCCAATAGCCGTTTCTAGCCATTTTCGAGGTTTCTTAGTTTCGGTCCCTTTTTTATACCCTTGCAGAGCAAAGGGTATTATAATTTCAGTCAGAAGTTTGCAACGCAGTGAAGGAGTCACCTCAGACCCCAAATTATATATATTCTTTATCAGCATCACGATCTGAATCCAAATACGTCTGTACGTCTGTCCGTCTGTCCGTCTGTCTGTTTCTCTTCAAACTAGTCTCTCAGTTTTAAAGCTGTCTTGCTGGAACTTTCCCAAAAGTTGTGTAGTTATTGCACGCAGTATATAAGTCGGAACGGGCCGGATCGGCCGACTATATCGGATAGCTCCCATACGAGAAAATGAAATAAAAAATTCTCACGTCGTTGTTTTTGATCAGATCGACTTGATTTCTTCCAGATGGCGTTTTCTAACTACTATTGAATTTCGGATTAAAAAAATAAAGAATGAAAAAAAAATTATAGCGTCGTTGTTTTTAATCCCACGAGCATGATTTTTAAAATATGAAGTTTTTTAATAACCCATAAATCGAGAAAAAAAAGGCATAGGAAAGATCGAAAAATCTATATAGAAATAACGGAAATAAAATGATAACATCGTATTTTTTCATCAGACAAGCATGAATTTTGAAATATAGAGTTTTCTAACGACTCTTGAATACCGAATTAAATTTCATCAAAATCGGACGACTATATCATATAGCCGTCATATGAACAATAGTCGAATATATAAAAATGAATAGAAAAATCGTTATAGCTTCGATCTTTTTGATGTTTTGATCGGCTGCCATGCCTGTGAATTATTTCCTATAAAGCGAAAAATATTTATTGAAACGATTCCTTAACATTATATTTGAACATAACATGGTTATTGATTATTTTAGATATTTTTTCCTAATTAAGTTTTACCCAACGTTCCCTTCGGAACGAGAACATATACGAATTGGGGCTTTTTTCTTAGCTTGCTGACCCCGAGTTTATATTATTGCATTACAAGACTTTTTTTAAGTCAAGGGAAAGAATGTTAAAAAAAAAATTTTTGACTGAGGTGTCTAAAGTGTGTTGTGTTCATCGGTAATTTATCCTATGCCATAATCGGTCTAATTCCGGGTAACTCTTGTTAGCCAAAGAAGGACTTTTTCCTATTGACACATTAACTCCATCTTGCTTGCAATACGAGTAAGTGACTTTCTTTCTGTCCGTAACTTGTTTGGGCGGAGAAGTGGCGGAGAGCAGTGACTAGACCCGAAATTTATGGGACGCCATTTGCTCTGATCGCCCAGTTGGCCATTAAGTAAGAACCCGAACTCCCAGTTCGGCATAAAACTGGACTGCCGATCAGTCCACGGCGCGTTACGGCTCATTGGCCAATTAGCATTAACAAATGATGGCTAGTTGGTGTAATTATGGCCATAATGCGTATATCCAAAGCGGGGCGTTAGCGGAGGGCGTGGTCGCCCGCTTGTTGTAATTAACTGCACTTGGCTCGACTCGGCGTTCTGTCCCCAGATCGTGGGCCTAATTAATTGCAGCCAACGCAGAGGCACTTTTTGAGCACTTCCTCCTTGAAAAGTAATTATTAATTGGATTTGATTCAATTTGATTAGGCTGGTGATTGTGCAGATTGTGGAAATTGTGGAGTGGGTGTTTTGTGGGAGAGGCAGGATTGCCTTCATAAATCATTTTGCGGCAGAGAGTTGACATGCAGCCCGGTGTCGGGACTTCGATGGGCTGTGTATGTGGGTGGTTGGTGGAAAGTCATCATTGCCGTCGTGACGTTTGCTTGCCGTTGCTCATTTCACGCCGGAAATGAAGAAACTGTCATAAGACGATCGGAATCATTTATCATGCGATTTTTAGTTTACTTTGGGCCGCCATTTTGTTTTCCCCCTGTCTTGTTCTCCGGTCCTAATGAAATCCGAACAAAGGAAAACAGAAACTGGAAGGGACTGTGCAGGGTCAACACATAGTTATAACACTACCGTTCCGCTCTCCCGAAAACGGAAGTCGGACCATTGATGAAACGGCGGAATGATGGCATGAAGGTTCCATTCCAACGGAATGGCAGACAAGCTCACAATGAGATTTGGCCGCAGACTCAGGTCGCTTATCAAAAAAAAAGTAATACCGTTGACTTTTTAAGTATTTCCGCTTTTTAATGGGATTTTTTTCGTCTGGCGAAGAATGTCTTTTTGGATGACTGGAAATGAGACAATTTTCTTGATGATGATTTATTGTGGATGATCCCTCTTGTTTATAAGATCAACAGTTGTTTAAGTTCTTAGTTTTGTATTGAGCTAAACATTAAAACATTAGTCGGTACTTCGTGGAAAATTTGTTTAGCCTCGTTCTGCTCTTTTTGGTTTAAGTTCCTGTATTAAAAGCCTCAGTATGTAATAAAATGAATTCAAAAAACTAAAACTTTAACAAACAGTTGAATCTAATGTGTATAAGACATCGACTTCACAAATTTCTAATGTCTAATTCTCCATTAAATTCTCATTTCTATTTTAGCTATATAATATACATAGTTGTCTAATCTTTATAGGATTGACATTGTAATATACATTATTGTAACGAATTACTAAATATGCAGCATGTATGTTTATCTACAGCGAAGCTATAACGATTTCTCAATTCATTTTCTGCAATTGCTCCAATGGCAGCTATATGATTTCTAAATAGAATTTTCTATCTCTTCTATGGCTGCTAAAAGATAATCGAATTTTAATGCATTTTTTTTTCTTGATTTAAGGGTTATTCAAAAACTCCTTTTTTAAAAACCGTGCTTGTGTTATGTTATAATTTTTTTTTATATATATATACAGTAGAATCCTGTTATAACGACTCCGTTGTTGTCGATCATATCGACTTGATTTCTTCCAGATGGTGTTTTTTAACAAGTATCGAATTTCGAATTAAATTTTATCAAAATAGGATGACTTTGATAAGCTGCCTTAAGGGGGGGGTAAGGTTTTAAAGGCCAAAAAAGGGGCCATGTTTGATCTTTTTTTGCGGCGAAATGAGTAAGTT